GTGTGTGTGAGAGAGTGAGTGTGCGTGCGCGTGTGTGTAAGTGTGCGCGCGTGTGAGAGTGTCTGTGTGAGTGAGAGAGTGTCTGTGTGAGTGTGCATGCATGCGTGTGTGTGTGTGTGTGTGTGAGAGCGTGTGTGCATGTGTGCGTCTCTGAGTGTGTGTGTGTGTGTGTGAGTGAGTGTGTGCGCGTGTGTGCATGAGAGTGTGTGTGTGTAAGAGTGTGTGAGTGTGTGTCTGTGTGCATGCTTGTGTGCGTGCGTATGTGCGCGTGTGTGTGTGTGTGTGTGTGTGAGTGAGTGAGTGCGTGCATGCATGCATGTGTGTGTGTGTGAGTGCGTGTGAGTGTGCGAGTGTGCATGTGTGTGAGTGAGTGTGTGTGCGCATGTGTGTGAGTGTGAGCATGTGTGTGTGTGTGAGTGCGCGTGTGTGCATGAGTGTGTGTGTATGCGTGTGTGTGTGTGTGCGCATGCTTGTGTGTGTGTGTGTGTGTGGGTGTGTGCATGCGCATCTGAGAGTGTGTGTGTGTGCGCATGTGAGTGTGTGTGTGTGTGTGCATGTGTGCGTCTGAGAGAGTGTGTGTGTGAGTGCATGCGTGTGCGTGTATGTGTGAGAGTGTGCGCTTGTGTGAGTGTGTGCATGCGTGTGTGTGTGTGTGTGTGTGTGTGTGAGAGAGTGAGTGCGTGTGAGTGAGTGTGCGCGTATGTGAGAGTGTGTGCGCGCATGTGAGAGTGTGTGTGTGTGTGTGTGCGCATGTGTGCATGAGAGAGTGTGTGTGTATGCGTGTGTGTGCGCATGCGCGCGTGTGTGTGCATCTGAGAGTGTGTGTGTGTGTGTGTGCGCATGTGAGAGTGTGTGTGTGTGTGTGTGCGCATGTGTGCATGAGAGAGTGTGTGTGTATGCGTGTGTGTGCGCATGCGCGCGTGTGTGTGCATCTGAGAGTGTGTGTGTGTGTGTGTGCGCATGTGAGAGTGTGTGTGTGTGTGTGTGCGCATGTGTGCATGAGAGAGTGTGTGTGTATGCGTGTGTGTGCGCATGCGCGCGTGTGTGTGCATCTGAGAGTGTGTGTGTGTGTGTGTGCGCATGTGAGAGTGTGTGTGTGTGTGAGAGTGCATGCGTGTGCGTGTATGTGCTTGTGTGAGTATGTGTGTGCATGCTTGTGTGAGTATGTGTGCATGCGTGTGTGTGTGTGTGTGAGTGCGTGTGTGTGTGTGTGAGTTTGTGCATCAGAGTGTGTGTGTGTGCATGCGTGTGTGTGTGTGTGTGTGAGTATGTGTGTGCATGCATGTGTGTGCATGCATGCATGTGTGTGTGTGCGCATGTGAGAGTGTGTGTGTGTGAGTGCATGCGTGTGCGTGTATGCGTGTATGTGTGAGAGTGTGTGCATGCTTGTGTGCGTGTGCATGCATGCGTGGGTGCGTGCGTGCGAGTTTGTGCATCAGAGTGTGTGTGCATGCGTGCATGTGTGTGTAAATTTGTGCATCAGTGTGTGTACGCATGCGTATGTGTGTGCATGAGTGTGTGCGCATGTGAGTGTGTGCGTGTGTGTGCATGCGTGTGTGTGTGTGTGTGTGCGTGCATGCATGTGTGTGTGTGCATGCTTGTGTGCGTGTGCATGCATGCGTGTGTGAGTATGTGTGTGCATGCATGTGTGTGTGTGCGTGCATGTGTGTGTGTGTGTGAGTTTGTGCATCAGAGTGTGTGTGTGTGCATGCGTGTGTGTGTGTGTGTGTGTGTGTGTGAGAGAGCGAGAGAGTGTGTGTGTGTGAACGTGTGTACCTACCTGACCATATTTTGGGGACAAATTTGTACCAAATGTGAGCTAAACCTGACAAAACCTCCGTTTTGGGAACATGCTCGTTTATAAAACAGTTTAAAAATAAAGTATACTATGTTTTTTTTATGTTGAATGCACAAGCTTTCTGTCAGGGTTAATGTGTGGGTTAGGACATGGTTATAGTATTTATAACTAGCTGTATATATAAAGGAAGTCAGTGTAATGTCTTTATTTAGAAAGCAGAGCAAACGTGTTTGTGTCACTTGAGCTTTCAGTATTTAGTCAACACATTTAATGTTAAAGGCCTGGTTTCACAGAGAGGGCTTAGACTGAGTCAGGATTGGGCCACAGTTGAATTAGGACAAAACAATAGCACTGACATATTTTAAGATCAATCAGTGCAAGTTTATTTCATGTGTTTTTTTCTGGGACTAGGCTTAAGCTGTGAAACCGAAGGATAAAGTCATATTGCACTGATTATAATACCTGTTCTGTTGACATGCTGTTGTCACTGATTAAATATGTTATGATAACTAGTTGTGCTTTAACCGGGGTTTGTAGTTATGACAGGAGGACTAGAGCAGGTGAAGTCCTCTCTGAGGTTATTAGACGGGTCTGGTGGGTTTACTTGAATAGTTACCAGTGACTCAGTCTTTGCTTTTGATAATATCCTGATCTCTAGCACTAGTGTTGTTCTGCTCTCTCTCTCTCTCTCTCTCACACACA